CTCCCGGGTTCCGCGCTCCTCCCCGGCTCGGGCGCCTGGCTGGGGGGTCCGGCCGCGGCTCTACTCCTCCCTCCGCCTCTTCTTTTCCTCCTTCCTGCTGCTGCTTCTTTTAAAGCAGATTCTTTGGCCACAAATAGCAACTCGGCTGCCCCCCTCCGCGCCTCCCTCCCTCTGGTTCTTCTCTTCTTCCCCCCCAAAAGTGAAGCGCGCGCGGATGGGCAGAGGCCCCGGGGCGCGGGGGCTGGCGACGCCAAGCAGGCCGGGTGCGGGGAGTGCTGGCCAGGGGCGCGAAGCGGGCGCAGACCTGGGAATGCGCTGGTAACGGCGGCAGGCCAGGTGGCTTGCTGGGGAGATGGGGAAGCTCAAGAAAGTAATTTCCCCGGCTCGTGTCTTTGTTTCCTTGACGGGGTGATTTCTAAAATCCTCAGAATGGGCTGGAGATCCCAAGGAACCGCTGTGCCCGGCAGCCAGGGACGCTGTGCGCCTGTTGTCTGCGGGTGAGTGTGAGTGTGGGTGCGTCCCGGGAGAGCCACTCCGCCGCGCTGGATGGCGGACCCCTGAATCTGGACCACTGACCCACTGAAGGCCACGGGGCTGGATCCACGAGGGACAGGCCGAAGAGATTGGTGAAGGAGACGAGAGAGAGAGAGAGAGAGAGAGAGAGAGAGAGAGAGAGAGAGAGAAGAGAGAGAGAGAAGGGGAGGGGGCGGGGGGGGGGCGGGGTGACGTCACTCCCCAGCATCCATCCATCCACTCGGCCAGAAAAGACCCTCTCTCTCAGATCCACTCATCCCCCAAGCAGGCACACCCGGGCGCTTCCCGCGCTGCTTCCCGGAGCACCAGAGGAAGAAACGCTGGTCGCACCCTATTCAAAGCGGTGACAATAATTCAAGGGGCGCTCATTGATGAGACTAGGTTGTGTCCGCCCTGGTTCACCTTGGCAGCCTCCTTGCTGGACGTTTGTAGGATCGCTTTGGAAGCAGAAAGGAAGGCAGGGAAGTACTAAAACCCAGGTCTTGGAGTAAGAACTCTTACGTTACCTGCACTTTCTTCACTGCTCCGGGCTTTGCTCAGACACCACATAAAACCTCTGCAGAGGACAGGCACCGGTTGTTGTTGGCTGCAGGATGGCAAAGGTGCCCAGTGCGGGTTGCTAGCTAAGAGGCCTTTTACTGTTCTTCCATACTCACAGGCTCTCCCGCATGTGGGGGAAATCAACATCTAGAAGTCTCCATTGGCAACTGGGCTATCAAAATTCTTTAGGAACACCACCAGAAAGGTCAAGCGAAGTCTGTGGGGTCAACTACCAACACTGCTCATTCTGAGTTCGTCCGGTACACTCAAACACCACTTCCTCAGACTCCAGGAAAGAGCAAGGGTAACCCCACAGACTCACCTGGAAACAAGCTTAAGATCCAGCATCCAGCATCCCAACTCTCTCTGGCTGCCATTTGATCCTGAAAAGCACTGATAGGTGGTCAGTAATCCCACACTCCCTATGTGCTGTAGGAAGGCCAGCCCTTTGGGGTGAAGTCTGGTGAACTGTAGTTTTCTTTTCCAACAAGTTTGAGTAGAGAAGCATCCATGCCTCTCTTTTCCCTCCTCTTCCTTTTCCCCTTCTTTTTATGGCTATCCTTCTAGTGGAAATTGGGAAATCTAGTATTGTACAAGCTCAAAGCCAAGGATAACTTCCAGTCTTTGATGGCACAAGCTGGAAGCTTGAGTAGATCTGATGAACACCTGCTCCATGTTCCCTGAGGGTGAATCTAGAAACCCGAACTTCCTAATAAATCATTCTCTGCCAAGGTATAAATTCCAGACTGGATGTCTCTTGCCACTGCCTCCCTGTACGATTGACCTTGCTGTGAAGCCTGGGAGCACCGGCTAGAAAATATGCTCTTCCCCTACTGGTAGCAAATCAGATCAGCTAGAGAACTTAGTAGTGGCTATTGCCAAGGTGACCAACAACAGGTGGAAAAGGGGACCCAGGAATTTAGGAGACAGAACACTATACAAGTAAATAAGAAGTCCAACTTTTCTGACACCATGAGGTCCAGAATGTTCTAGTTCCTATCACATTCAAACATCTTAAAGAAAGAACTAGAGATCTGGGGTGGCAACTATCCTGAGCTTTTATTATGCAGAAGAAACTTAGAAATGTCAATGATGATGCTGTTGAGAAAGGCAGGATCCAGCCAACAAAGAAACCAGATTTTCTCTACACATTCCAGTAGAGGTGGCAGTGAGATGTGACCAGGCACATGTAGAATAACACAGTGACAACACATTCAAACCATACAACACCCAATGCTGCCGCATCCCATGTAACAATTGGGCTGGCTTGCCTTCTGTGAATTTTCATCAGAGGTGGGCGGGTTAACTGTTAAGAGTGTTTCATTTTACAGTTGAGGAAATTGAGTCTCCAAGATTATAAGGTTATACAAGTCTTGAGTGACTAAGGTGGACTGTCCTCCCATGTTCATACCCCAGTTTCTTTGATTCCATCTATCATCATCTTACAGTTCTGGATTTAAAAAAAAAAAAAACATTTTTCCAACAGATCACTGAACAGCAAATATAGACTATTTAAAAACTGCAACCATTCATGTGAAAGCAAATGAAGCAACAGATCTAGACCTGTCTTAACTCCCTTCTGGCTCTTACATTCTGTGATGAATAGCACACTGGAGTTTGCTGTACACACCCCCTCTAGTGCATTAACTCAGTGCAGGATGAGCATGAGTCTGTTCTGGACCCCAGCCAAGGAAGTTCATTCCTAGAAGTGCTAGAGAGATTTTATTTTCATTTATCAGGAAGCATACTAAAAGAAGACTAAAAATGATCGTGATGACAACAGTGGTATGCAATTGTGACTTTTGTATTATATGTTAACCATGTTAGCACATCTCAGTTGGAGGGGGGCAGTGCGTAGAGACAGGATCTTATGTAGCCAAAACTGTCCTTGAACTTTTGATTCTCTTATTTCCTCCTCCTAGCACTGAGATTGTAAGAATATGCCACTACACCCAGCTCCCACTGGTTTACAAAGGGTACATGATGGCTTTTCTTGGTTCACAGATCTAGTGGTTACAAACACTTTGAAAAGCCGAAAGAAAAGTAGGAAAGAAATGCTTTGATCATGTGGCTAGTTATTAAACAGGAAGATCTGAAAGCCACTGCCCTTTCCTCGTCTCAACAATTGTCCTGCTGGTTGAGTATTACGAGCTCCAAGGTGTTAGTGAGGAAACAAGATCAGATATGATGTGCAATTTGGCTTTACTCCCAGCACTCGGGAGGCAGAGATGGGAGGATCTATGTGAGTTCAAGGCCAGCCTGGTCTACATAGTGAGTTCCAGGCCAGCTGGGGCTACCAGGAGACCCTGTCTCAAAAGAAAAAAAACAAAAAGATGTGCAATTTGACCATGGTGACAGCTTGCAGGTGGCAAGCTGGAATTTTGCACCTGTCTCTTTTTCAAATTCAGACTGTTTTTACTTCTATAGTAATGAAAAATGATAAACAAGGGATACAAAAATTGTTAGTCATATTTTCCTTGGAAGGAGTTCAGTGCTTTTATGGAAATCAGCTTGGATGGAGAAACAGCATAGATATGAGTGACGTATGAGTCTTTCATAAGACCCTGAAGCTAATAGCAGACCTTTCGTACAGGTGCTAGTTTGTGTCTAACATTCTTTATTAACTTGTTGCTAAGTGCAGAAGTGAAATAATAATGAATGGTTTTAATCCTCATTCACCTCTGCAAGTTAACATGCTTGAGAGAAATTCTCAAATTCAATCCATGTAGCATTTCCCAACAGCATGTGTTCTCCTAATACAGAGGTGGTTTGAGGAACTATTAAATAACTCTAAGACTCTAAACTAAACAGTATTTTCCTTGGCTTGGGGACACAAGATACACACCTATACCAGACATTGTAATTTCACATACACTACAAAAAGAAAGGCAGATGGTTACTCAGGTGCATGCATTTTTTTTTATCAGTACAGTGCTGTGAATTCTACTCACAATCTACATACGCATTTAAGAGATTTGCTCTCATTCCTTCAAAAGCTCAAAGTCAGCACTGAGGGAAGACTGAAGCAGAAGTCTAATCCTGGTCTTTGGATGCTATGATGCTATGTGAAAGACTCTTTATAAGCAAATGGGCTCTCAATACATAGAAGAGGGTTAGGGATTTTGAGCAATGCTATGCAAGAATTCAATTTTTTCAGCATATGAAAAAATGCACGCCCCGCCCCCCAGGGCAGCATCTTTCTTTGCAAAGTAGAACTTCCCTTTCAGAAAAGAAATCTCTATCTTCACCAAAGAAAAACCTAGAAAAGCCAAGCCCTCTCCTTGGCCAGCTCCGTTTCA